AAATGAAGTTCCATCTCTTATGCTCTGGTGTTTTCGAAGTTTTGAATAGAGCAAAACATCAACATCAGAATAACCTTACACCCAAACAGTGGCAAGGTTTTAAAGAGATACGTGAGCTAATCTCGAACGGCACGGTGCGACTATCTGTAAGCGATAAGGGAGGCGAATTCGTAGTAATGCCTCAAGAACTGGATCGTCGAATAACAACAGCTCATCTAGCGGACACCACAACGTACAGAGTAGTTTCTGCGAAAGACTTCCGATCTCAGTGTAGAAAACTGAATGACGCTTGGACCGTGATAGCAAAATCTGCCGGACTTGACGACAGATTCATAAAGAGGTTGAAACTCAGATGTCCAAGTTGTCCGGTGTTTTACAGCCTGATTAAGACGCACAAGCTTTCTTTGCGGGACATGAGCTCAATGTCAGAGGATACTTACAAAATTAGACCTATTATTAGTTGTGTTGGCGGTCCCACCGATCGAATTTCGTGGTTCTTGAACAAGATAGTGAGCCAGTTGCTTCCCAAAGTTCCAGCACATTTATCCAACTCTCGTGAATTTATCGAAAAAGTCCGAAGCGCTCAGTTTGATCCGAGCACTGTAGTCGAGTCATTCGATGTGACTTCGCTCTACACTAATGTGCAGAATGAACAAGCCTTGCAAGCGCTATCGGAATTGTTGGATAAACATGCAACCACCATCAATACTTTTGGGCTTGGCAAAAGGCGGACTATGACCCTTATAAGCGAATGTTTGAAGTGCAACATCTTTAGATGGTCTGGGACTTACTATGCCCAGATACGCGGATTAGCTATGGGTCAGAGGTTGGCGCCGGTTCTCGCCATTTGTTTTATGAGTAAGATCGAAGAACCAGTGCTAGCCCGCATGCCGCTAATGTACTGCCGGTATATCGATGACTGTTGTATATTTACATCAACACAGTCCGAAATGGACAAGTGTTTCGAAATTTTGAGCCAGCAGTCGCAGTACATAAAGCTCACACGAGAGACACCACACGACGGATGGCTGCCTTACCTCAACGCGCAAGTAAGATTATCCAATGGTATTGTTAGCATGAAATGGTACCGCAAAGAAAGCTCGAAGAACATCCTTTTGAATGTTAAATCAGCGCATCCTGCATCTATGAAAAGAGCGGTGATCAAGAATATGTTTAAAACGGCTATGCAGATGTGCTCCGGAGAAAGAGAACGATGCGAGTCGCGAGATCTGGCCTCCAAGATTGCTTGCAGCAACGGTTACCATTCTTCGCCACATGATCAACATCAGGCGAATAGTAACAAAATCCGCGATAATAAGCTTCCACTGTGCCTTCCATTTATTTCCGATAACATCAGTGCGGCATTTCGAAAATGTATTTCACGTGCACAACTGCAAAATGATATTGTTTTAGTCGACATCCCAGGTGACAATATCAAGACGCAGTTAGTTCGAAACAGACTTTACGATCGATACTGTATAACTAATCGATGCGTAGTCTGTCCGCACGGCAAAATAGGTGATTGTGCACAAATGGGAGTGGTTTATCAGTTAGAATGTCTTAGCTGCAATGCCATCTACATCGGAGAAACCGGCAGAACACTTAGTACTCGCTTAAAAGAACATCTTGCAGATAAAAGGCGTAAAACATTGTTTTCACCTTTGGGCAAACATAGCCACGATTCGCATGGTGGAGCCGATTTCAATATCAAATGCCAAATCTTGGCACATGAGAAGGAAACCTCGGCGAGGAAGGCGTTAGAAGCATTCTGGATTTCTGCGAAGAATCCAGCAATGAACAATAAAAATGAGTGTTTGTCAATTACCACGGACTTCCTCCCCTTCATATCTCTATGCAGACTGTAGATCACTTATGTGCTTATATGGTATAGTCCATTCTATCCGCCAAGACCATCATTTCCGGTGCGGAACCCTAAATAGCGGTGTTCACAGGGTATGTTCATCTTCTGGCATAGCAGTTTTTGCGGTAGGAATGTTGAACGAAGGTTGAGAACTAGCAGGAATGGAGATGGTACTTGATGGCCTCGTTTCTCGGGTAACACTTTGAGCCATTTTCAGGCCTCTGAGGAAGACGAAAGGCGTCGAAACGTTAGGCCGTGATTGGAAATAAAAGAACACCTAACAAACCTGTTTGGCACAGAAGTACTTCTACTATACGAATTATGCCCAGGTTTAAAGAAAGCGAAACTTTTAAATTATTAGAAGACTTACCGCCGAATATGTTTCGCTTAACACGTGAAACGCTGTCGCTACGACAAAAAGCGATAGCTACTCGCCAATCCTTAATATTCCTCCGACGTTGCCAGAAAACGAATGTGCTGCCTAATTTCATCAAGGATAAGAAATTAGGATATACCTGCGATCTCAGCGAAAATGATCCGAGGATTGTGAAGATTTATCAATCTATCCTGAAGATTATCATCAAAGAAAAACAGAGATCATTGTATAGTACCTTGTTGAAATGTAGCACAAAAGAACAAGCTTGTAAACGTCTCATGCCTGGTGAACGTTGGAGGAGGATTGAGGATGGGTCAAAGCTAATCTGTGATTCGATGCGGTCTAGAATCAAATCCAAACTCCGCGCAAAGTACGACCGACTTTTGACTGAACTCTGCAGAAATTGTTCATGTGACAGAAGTAGCAAACCCTGCTACCGCTCCAATGGACTTGCATCTGAGAATGAAGCAACAACTAGAGTCACGATAATTGGCAACACTCAACTATCTTCTAACATCACCGAGCTTCTAAGCCTTGGTCCTTCGTTCTCCCCTGCACAGAATATCAACGCTATGACTTGCCGCAAGATAGTAGGAAGTTTGCACAAGCTCAGAGACACTCTTAGACTGAAAGCCAAATACGGCAGTCCAACAGATGCAGCTCGCGATAATAACAGCTTACTACCGACCATTCCCTTCCCTCAATCGTTTTACAAAGAACCATCACCCGTCCCCGAGATAGAAATGAAGTTCCATCTCTTATGCTCTGGTGTTTTCGAAGTTTTGAATAGAGCAAAACATCAACATCAGAATAACCTTACACCCAAACAGTGGCAAGGTTTTAAAGAGATACGTGAGCTAATCTCGAACGGCACGGTGCGACTATCTGTAAGCGATAAGGGAGGCGAATTCGTAGTAATGCCTCAAGAACTGGATCGTCGAATAACAACAGCTCATCTAGCGGACACCACAACGTACAGAGTAGTTTCTGCGAAAGACTTCCGATCTCAGTGTAGAAAACTGAATGACGCTTGGACCGTGATAGCAAAATCTGCCGGACTTGACGACAGATTCATAAAGAGGTTGAAACTCAGATGTCCAAGTTGTCCGGTGTTTTACAGCCTGATTAAGACGCACAAGCTTTCTTTGCGGGACATGAGCTCAATGTCAGAGGATACTTACAAAATTAGACCTATTATTAGTTGTGTTGGCGGTCCCACCGATCGAATTTCGTGGTTCTTGAACAAGATAGTGAGCCAGTTGCTTCCCAAAGTTCCAGCACATTTATCCAACTCTCGTGAATTTATCGAAAAAGTCCGAAGCGCTCAGTTTGATCCGAGCACTGTAGTCGAGTCATTCGATGTGACTTCGCTCTACACTAATGTGCAGAATGAACAAGCCTTGCAAGCGCTATCGGAATTGTTGGATAAACATGCAACCACCATCAATACTTTTGGGCTTGGCAAAAGGCGGACTATGACCCTTATAAGCGAATGTTTGAAGTGCAACATCTTTAGATGGTCTGGGACTTACTATGCCCAGATACGCGGATTAGCTATGGGTCAGAGGTTGGCGCCGGTTCTCGCCATTTGTTTTATGAGTAAGATCGAAGAACCAGTGCTAGCCCGCATGCCGCTAATGTACTGCCGGTATATCGATGACTGTTGTATATTTACATCAACACAGTCCGAAATGGACAAGTGTTTCGAAATTTTGAGCCAGCAGTCGCAGTACATAAAGCTCACACGAGAGACACCACACGACGGATGGCTGCCTTACCTCAACGCGCAAGTAAGATTATCCAATGGTATTGTTAGCATGAAATGGTACCGCAAAGAAAGCTCGAAGAACATCCTTTTGAATGTTAAATCAGCGCATCCTGCATCTATGAAAAGAGCGGTGATCAAGAATATGTTTAAAACGGCTATGCAGATGTGCTCCGGAGAAAGAGAACGATGCGAGTCGCGAGATCTGGCCTCCAAGATTGCTTGCAGCAACGGTTACCATTCTTCGCCACATGATCAACATCAGGCGAATAGTAACAAAATCCGCGATAATAAGCTTCCACTGTGCCTTCCATTTATTTCCGATAACATCAGTGCGGCATTTCGAAAATGTATTTCACGTGCACAACTGCAAAATGATATTGTTTTAGTCGACATCCCAGGTGACAATATCAAGACGCAGTTAGTTCGAAACAGACTTTACGATCGATACTGTATAACTAATCGATGCGTAGTCTGTCCGCACGGCAAAATAGGTGATTGTGCACAAATGGGAGTGGTTTATCAGTTAGAATGTCTTAGCTGCAATGCCATCTACATCGGAGAAACCGGCAGAACACTTAGTACTCGCTTAAAAGAACATCTTGCAGATAAAAGGCGTAAAACATTGTTTTCACCTTTGGGCAAACATAGCCACGATTCGCATGGTGGAGCCGATTTCAATATCAAATGCCAAATCTTGGCACATGAGAAGGAAACCTCGGCGAGGAAGGCGTTAGAAGCATTCTGGATTTCTGCGAAGAATCCAGCAATGAACAATAAAAATGAGTGTTTGTCAATTACCACGGACTTCCTCCCCTTCATATCTCTATGCAGACTGTAGATCACTTATGTGCTTATATGGTATAGTCCATTCTATCCGCCAAGACCATCATTTCCGGTGCGGAACCCTAAATAGCGGTGTTCACAGGGTATGTTCATCTTCTGGCATAGCAGTTTTTGCGGTAGGAATGTTGAACGAAGGTTGAGAACTAGCAGGAATGGAGATGGTACTTGATGGCCTCGTTTCTCGGGTAACACTTTGAGCCATTTTCAGGCCTCTGAGGAAGACGAAAGGCGTCGAAACGTTAGGCCGTGATTGGAAATAAAAGAACACCTAACAAACCTGTTTGGCACAGAAGTACTTCTACTATCTTTTCATTCTTTTTAGGTCAACGGCTATCGTGCTGTGATTGTCGGGTGGGATTTGACCGCAAAAGCATCTAAGGAGTTCTTAGATAGGGTGCATAAGGGTGATCAGGTACTTATCTTGAACCTCTGTTTGATACCCCTTTACTACCCTTTTTCTCAGGAAATGATCAATAGCCCACACTATGCAGTGCTGATAGACGTACGGGACCGTCTAGTACCACAACTCGGTTATATTCATCAGGATAATATAGAGCCGTATGCGGGAAGGATTATTCATAATCTAGTCAGTAGTTATATGGAGAGGTACGACGAATCAAAACACAGGTGAGTATGCCATGTTGCTAATTTGCATTACTTTCGTAGTAACATTTGTGTACTTATCATTGTTGATGAATTTCGTTTTTGAACCTCAGTCCACTTTGTGTTTGGCACTTTTGTTTTATTGTTTCAAAAGCACTGCCTATATGCCTAGGGATTTCACAGGGCAGTAAAGTGATAATATGATCAAAGGCAGTATCCCGGCAAGATCTCGCTATCCATTTTCACCTTTTCGGGGAATTCTTGCTATGTTAAACCCATACCTGGGCCTTGCAGCGTATGAAAATGGGAAAGCTGAGCTTTTTTCGAAGCTTTTCAGGTTTGCCAGTGGAAAATACGATCAAGTAGGTGGGTTGCAGCAGACTTCTGGAGTGCTTTTACGCTTTTCAGAAGTGCTTCTTCGCTCCAGACTTTAGTGGTAGATCATTTGGGGGGGGGGGGGAGGGTCTGTTGTTGCAACGCTGTAACCCACTACGCACTTTGCCGGGACGCTGCTTTTAAGTTTGCGTGTTCCAATTTCACACTCCTCATGTTCAGGTACATACCGAAGCCATGGTTGAAACGAGTATACCCCGATGATTGACAGTTACATTATATACGAAGCATTGCACATCATCTCTTGGTGAATTATACGGGACATTTGTATATGTATAAAGCGTGGAGGATTTATTGTTATGTGTAGCTCAAAGTTTTACGATAAATTTTGTTTACGTGAAGGATTTTTGAATATATAAATTTTTTTCTCATCATCTCACGATCATGTTTGAGAGGATTGGTGAACTACACATGGGAAGTTATCGATTGTCAAACCTTTCGGCTTGAAATGATAAAGTCATGGAAATCTAGCAAAATTGGAAGTTTTCGCAAAACTTCCAGACATTCTATGCTCATAATTTGAAGTAACGGATCTTCTAGATCTTGAGATCTCTAATCTATAATTTATTTATTTATTTCATACGCACATAGGCGCGCTCAGAAATCCAACAAAAAAACCACATGATACTAGGTAGAACATGAAAGTGAATTGAAAACAAAGCAAATAACAAAAAACAACAACAAACAAAGCAGTTTTTCTTGACGGTTGCCATATAGGCTAAACTAGCTGGCTTACCGGCTCCGCCCGGCTTTGTCAAGAACGATAAAGGTCCCTCTCCTAGCCTTGTACGACCTTTCCCTGTGCACATTTCTACATGAAATTCCCTCTTCCCGCTGTGTTAGTAATCAGCAGGCTCACCTACCTCCCTCAACAATTCCCAGCCCCGACTCAAACTTTGCAAAAAATCGATAAAAGTAAGGGTAATTCTAAAAGCTGATGGCGCTATTTGGCTATCCGGGGCCCAAAATGTTTTTGTGATGGATCTTGCTCAGACTCGGTATATGGGGGTTATTTGAGCCGCTGATGACAAATATTGTAGTCATTTCGCGTGGCAGCGGGTAAAAATTATGAACCTGGCTGAAAACTTGGCAGGAAATTACCTAAAGTGCTGTTTCAAGAACATCGTGCTTAAAGGCAGCGTCCCACCAGATTGGGGGTACCTGGCTCTCGTGATGATGTAATATTAGACCCCCTACCTAAGCGATGACTGAAGTTCGAAGCGAAAAAGGGGGTCTACCAAGCCTGAAATTTGCTCCAAAAGTGGGTCGAATCTTACGGTAGGATCGGGCGCCGCCCACACGGCAATATCGATTTGCAGGGCCAGAGTGCGTATAGCGCACACTCATGAGCGCAGGGACCCGCAACGACTCTGCGTCTCTACCTTGCATGCACCTCGCACTCGGCCGATCCTACCGTAACATTCGGCCCACTTTCGGAGCAAATTTCAGGCTTGGTAGACTTCCATTTTCGCTCCGAACTTCAGATCGCTTAGGTAGGGGGTTTACTATTACATCACTAGTTGGCAAACCCGGCTCCGCCCGGCCCTGTTAATAACATATTTGTAACCAGCATGCTCGATTACCCCCCTGTGCCAACTCCCAGCTCCGTAGCTCAAATTTTGCAAAAAATCGATACGATGTCGATCGATAACGAAAAGTAGCCTATGACACGCTCCGAAGTGTATGTGTGCCGAGTTTGGTCCAAATCGGTTCGAAAATTAAAATTTCTATTCCGCACATACGTACATACAGACAGACACACATTCAGCTTTATATATAAGATTACGAGAGCCAGATACCCCCAGTCTGGTGGGACACTGCCTTTGATCCTCATGATAAAGGCAATTCTGTGGTACAAAAGTTTTCCACGATCGTAGTGCTTTCCTTATAGGACCACTGCCGCGCGCGATACACCCCTCGGCGGCTTTTGCTCAAGCAAAAACAGGGGGAGGGAGATTTGCCGCGTGCGTTACGCGTTGGGACAGGTTATCAGGATAGTGCTGGAGACCGCCATGCAAAATGACCGTCTCTCCATTTCGTGAATACCTGGGATCTAAATTGGCCCGCAAGCGAAAAAAATGTTTATTCAAACCCTGCAACTCACCATAACTTCACAATAATGCGTTATGACAGCGAGCAGGCATCATATTCATAAGCAGTATGCTTGTGAACCGTTGCAGGTAATGTTTTGAGCAAATCTTGAGCTTCGAACCATCTACTGTACACCCACTGTAACACCCACCCAAGAAAATGCGCTACCCTGCGAAATCAGCATGATATTCATGTTCAGCGCGCTAAATGACCACTCTAGACGAAGTTTAAAGCAAATCTATGTTTTCGATCCCATACCGTATAACCACCGTAACTCCATGAAAAGGTCCCAATATGCAGAGAGAGTATGAAATTCGTAATCAGCATGTCGAATAAGCCCTCTGACCGAACTCCAGCCGAATTCATGATTTTGACTTCCTACCGTGCACTTATCGTAACCACACGGGGAGACGTTCTGCGGAGAAAGTGTGATTTTTTTAATCATCATGTAATATAATCCTCATACACGAAGTCTGAGGAAGCTCTACGACAAAAAATTTTTGGGGCCCCGGATAGCCGAATAGCGCCGAACTAATATTGTACTCGTAATCAGGGTGCTCGATTACCTCCTTGTGCCAACTCCCAGCCCCGTGGCTCAAACTTCGCAAAAAATTCGATAAAATCGATAAATGTAATGGATATTCTAAAAACTGTTATTGTATTCGTAATCAGCATGCTCGATTACCCCCTGTGCCAAATCAATCGATAAAAATCGATAAAATCAGTATCGATCGATGACGAAATGTGGCCTATGACACCCGCCCGGCTCCGAAGTGTATGTGTGCAAAGTTTGGTCCGGATCGGTTCATAAATGGAATTTTCTATTTGGAACTTACATATAGACAGACAAACATACAGACAGACATACAAACAGACATTCAGCTTTATATATAAGACAAGTAAATGGCACTATAGCCAAAATGACATATCCACAAGTAGAAATTCCATAAGTAATGAATCATGGCACAACCTACACCAACTCAGACAATGAAAGGCTCTCAGCCGGCCCCACCAAAAGCTCCGAGCAAGCCGCCGTTGCCTTATTGCCTCACTGTCGCTTCCCGCTGAGAGCTTTGCTAGAACTGGCAGCGAGCGGGCTGCCATAAAGTCTTCAGCGTGAAGCGAAAGTGGCGGCCATGCCTTATCGCCGCCACTTTCTCTTCGCCTGAAGACTTTATGGCTGCCCGCTCGCTGCCAGTTCTAGCAAAGCTCTCAGCGGGAAGCGACAGTGAGGCAATAAGGCAACGGCGGCTTGCTCGGAGCTTTCGGTGGGGCCGGCTGAGAGCTTTTGATTGTCTGAGAATTTGCCGCCAGACATGCAGTGGACAAGCAGCACGGACAGGGCGGGGGCCAGGCAAACGAATACACCGGCATTCAAACTGAACTCGATGTTCTGCTTTGTCAGATAATGTCTTTTCCATTCATATTTTCCCGAACACAGTAAATATAGTCAAATCTTCGTGAAATTTTACTACTTACCCAATCTACGCAGAATTATTTGTGAGTTGGTTTTTGAATGGCGAAGCATTACTTGCATTATTTCCCAATTTGTTAAGAGTTGTCTATATTTGATCTATAATTTTGATTGAGGTCCAGGCAGGCATCTTTTGAGATTGACATTTATGCAGGTTACCGCAAAAGAAAGTGGGAGGGGTAGGTGGGAAGGGCGGGGATAGGTGGGACGGGGGGGGGGGGGTAGGTGAGGAGAGGAGTTGTACGGATAGGTACATTTTGGGGGGGGGGTCGTAGAAGAGAGTCTAGGATCGCATCAACACGCTTGACCCTCGTTAAGACGCAGAGTCTTTGTAGGACCCTACGTGTTGACTGTGTGCGGTATGCGCACTCTGGCCTATCGAACTAACTCATCCCGGTCGCCGGGGCGTTCCGGTTGCCACTTTTGAAGCTGATTTCTCGCTTCAGAAGCAAACTGGTACATTGCCAGTTGAGCAAGAGGGGTGTAAGGATGGGCACCCCTGTACTCTACATTTTCGTATCTGCCCGGACGCTGCCTTTGAGTGGGGCTGGCAGTATGCTAATCGGGCGATGGTTCAGTAAGAGATTAGATTATTTCCTTTTGGGATTGGCGTAATAACTCTGATCCTTCCAAGAAAAAGGTATCTCACCCGTCATAAGTGATATATTGAAAATATGTGTTAATGGTTGAGAAAGCTCGCTGCAAAAATTTTGAAGAACTTTTGCGGTACACCATCTGAAGTCACCGACTGTGATGATTTGAGAGTTTTCAAATACTTGTAAACAACTTCGGGTGTAATATCAGGCAAATGAAACTCAAGATCTGTGAATTTGGTTGGGCTGACAATTTGATACAATGCTTTGTAAATGTGCTTTCAATGAAATTTGCAAAAGCCTCTGCTTTGTCGAAGCCTGTATTGTATTTTGCTCCATTGTCTCCGAAAAGCATTAGCAAAGCATGTGAACGCTTGGTTCTATGTCTGATACAAGAGATGATATCCTTCATATGTTTACTATTGGCAAGTCTTTTGATTTTGTGGGCTGTATTTCTCTTCGAATGATAGTCTAGTTTCATAATATTTTTGTAGTGTGGGCAGTCTAAGAGGTCAGCCGAACGTAGAATAATCTTTGGCGTTCAAAAAGAATGAGAATATGGGTAGGGTATCTAACGGAGGTAATGTCATGCTAGATATACACTGCTGGACATAATTATAGAGACACTCTAGAAATCGTCGTAATTTCGTTCTTGTCATTGAATCTGTCTGAAACTTTGCTGTATGTGCGCATGTAAGCCTACCATAACTCCTCAGAACGGCTTCCAATCCCGTTGATTTTGAACGGAGAAAATGGAAAAATCGAAAAAGCCTGTTTTGTAAGCTGGACATAATTATAACGACACCTGGTCTTTTAAACATTATCGCATTCCTTACTCCCAAATTTTTTTGTAGAGTTACATCCCAGAATATGAAACTTTTGCAGCACCTACGATTTGTCATGCTACTCAAAGAAAGATGATCCTTGCATTTTTCGTTTCCAAAGGCATCAGAAGTCAGACTGCGTGAACAAACAGCTGGTTTGAGGAGTTTTCAAGCCCGCGTTCATTTCAAATGACAGTCCTGGAATACACTTAGCCTTTTTGATAGATAAGGTGAAGAGCTCTTTCGTAAACTCCGCGTAATCGCTGATTTTGATAATCAGACTCCAACCTCACCATAGGGTTGTCACGCTTTTACACCACAAAACTCACTTTCCAATGTTCGTGAAGTAATGGACTCGATTTATTACATTGTCTACGTGGAGATGCATCTTTTGCGACAACTTTTAGATTTTTCTAGTGCTGCAGTTGCAATTTAGATCTGAGATACTTTCAGCGAAAATTCTATGCGAGCAGTAGATTGAACATAATCACAAATCTCACTATTTTATTCTCTGTTTCATGTCGCATATTACGCGGTAGCTGAGATTAGCAAGATTTTGAAGTTTCAAGCGGTCTCCTATTCGATGATTGGAGTTGGATATGATTGTGCAGGGTGCTCGACTCAACTCTCAACGGATGATAACTGCGGCTGAACCGGAATGTGCAACCTCGAAATTTTTTCCTGACTAGGCACACAAGTTTATTGTTGTACGTGTATTGTTGCGGCTACATTGCAGCGTTTTCTGTAACTTGAAAATCGAGTTTTGTGGTGCAGGAGCGCGACAACCCTATGGTGAGGTTGGAGTCTGATTGTCAAAATCAGCGATTACGCGGAGTTTACGAAAGCGCTCTTCACCTTATCTATCAAAAAGGCTAAGTGTATTTCAGGACTGTCATCTGAAATGAACGCGGGCTTGAAAACTCCTCAAACCAGTTGTTTGTTAAAGCAGTTTGACTTCTGATGCCTTTGGAAACGAAAAATGCAAGGATCATCTTTCCTTGAGTAGCATGACAGGTCGTAGGTGCTGCAAAAGTTTCATATTCTGGGATGTAACTCTACAAATCTGGGAGTCAAAGAATGCGATAATGTTTAAAAAGGCCAGGTATCCTTATAATTATGTCCAGCTTTCAAAACAGGCTTTTTCGAATTTTTCCATTTTTCTCCGTTCGAAATCAAGGAGATTGGAAGCCGTTCTGAGGAGTTATGGTAGGTTTACATGCGCACCATACAGCAAAGTTTCAGACAGATTCACCGACAAGAACGAAAATTACGACGATTTCTAGAGTGTCTCTATAATCATGTCCAGCACTGTAGAGGAAACGACAATATACGTCGTTCACGTCTGTGAATGAGACGAAGAGGAAAGGGGGACGCTGGGAGGCACCGAAAGCTCTACTCATTCCGGTGGAAAGCTGATTCACTCGGATTCCGTATCTTCCAAAGATGGAAGTTTTACAAGGCAAAACAGAGGGATCTTGGACATTTGCGCATTTTTCGTTATAAAAAGAAGCGTTTTTGCGCAGATTTTTTTGTCGATTATGAAACATGGCGCTCGCACATTAATATGAGACAAAAAGGATTGATTTCCTGTAAAAGATGAGGGGCTGAGCAGGGTCTCCGTGAACAAGACTTTTCGGGCGATGGGCAGGACGTCCTGCACTGAAAAGTGCTGTGCAAGTAAGCGTAGTAGCAGTGCCAAAAAGTAGGCATTCCAATTGCATCTTCTAAACCAGGTCCTACCGCAAAAAAAGCCTAATAGACAGATCCAGTGAGTTTTCTGCATGACGAAACATTGCCTCATACGGCAAACGTCGTCAAAACTGTACTGCAAGATTTGACTGGAAGGTACTTCAGTACCCAACGTACTCTTCAAATTTCGCTCTATCAGATTATCATTTGCTCTGCTCTCTCGCTAACTTTATGAGTTGTGCATGTCTCGATTTCGGTAAGTAGTTTGAGCGCTGGTTAGATGACTTTCTTGGGACTCGGCACACTGCCGTCTGGAAATTGAGGATAAGAATCTACCAAGAATGGCCAAAAGGTCGTGCGCTACAACTACAAATATAATATTGACTATGTTACTGTAAAGGGATGGTTTCTTGTTTTATAAAAATGCTACGATATGGAACACCTAATAGTTTGGAATACATTCGTTTCAGGTTCTCTTACGCTAGAAAATCCTAGAAAATGCTTTTGCGTTTCCCGCCTATTTCGTAGAAATACTGTAGGTTTACTATAATCGACGATATGCATGATTTTAGCCAAAAATTGTTGACTTATTCATGGATGGCATTGTCCCACAAGCCAGACAACTAAAAATGCACGTTGCATGAACGTGTTAACCCTTTGGAACCTGGCGGTGGCAACTACCAGGTCCCAAAGGGCTAACACGTTACTGCAGCAGCGCCGCTACAGCATGTTCCTGGCAATCCCAGTTACAGTAGTTCTAGATGGCCCATTGCTTTCTAACTGCGCGTCCTTTCGCATTTTTGTTCGTTCTGCACCCAGTACTAGAAGCATTCATGCACAGAGGAACGATGGATCGCGCTCGGCCCCGCAATCAGACAGGTTAGTGTAATTTTTTTTGAAAAAACATTGAATTTTTATTCATACTACTATTGTAACTGTTTAGTATGAGGTCGTTAGAGAAATGTATGGTAGTTGTTTGTGAGTCTACATGTGTTGACTCTTTGCCATCACCTTCAGAACCGTACGCAATTGCCACCAGTCGGCTTTAGTGGAACTTTAATGGAAGGTTTTTCATTCAGAAGATGCACCGCCAACGAGCTTCGACAAGAATCTAGCTGGGACATCTTAACAAATCACATTGAGAGAAGCTGCGGCGACATCATTGGCGAAGACGATGTTGACGAGGAGTTCGGGAACATTGAAGAAAGCGACGAAAAAGAAGACGAAGATGAGAAAAGGAAAAATCTCTGGTGTCGCGAATGAAACAAAACAAGGAAGACCGGTGTCCAATTCTTCGAATATCATGGTTGCACCTACTGCCACCTACTTCCCAAAAACGCGTGAAGTCCAGATTGATTTCTCTGAGTGAAGTTGGATATGACAGCGCCGGACACTGGCCGATACATGAGGATGGAAACGAACAAAGATGTAAACTAGAATCATGTGGAGGACGTTCACGAATTCAGTGTGAAATGTAACGTTCATATTTGCCTGACAAAACATAGAAATTGCTTCAAAACCTTCCATTGTAAATAAGTGAGGTGTGATAAAAGTCGTTCCACTAAGGCCTGTTGGTGGCAAATGCCACCACTTTGTATTTTCTTACTGTATGGTCGAAAACTTTCCAAACTTATCTGAAGTGTTATTTATGTGCCCATAAGTAAGAATCAATGAAAAAAATAATTTTTTTCTTAAGGGCAAAAAGTCAGGTCCGAAAGGGTTAAAATAGTGAACTTGGGAGACCAAATTTGCGCGTGCGCTTGGTCTTTCGCTGCGCTCGCCCTCAGCAGATTTTCCCACGCTTGAGATGTGGAAAATACCGTATCCTCAGGCATCGATGGCTGACGAGTTTGGGAGTATACTCCCGGAACAGGGCTCGGCATGAGTTCGTTTCTACGCTAAGTGAAGCCCTTGACCTTCGCGAAATTTTGCGGTCTCCTTTGACTCTCAGCCCTAAGAACCCTCATAAAAGGAAGAAAAGTCGCAATTTTTGGCCACAAAAAACGACATCCTCTTTGCTTTTTCGCCCCAAAAACGAAGTCCAGTTTGCTTCCATACGATCTGCGCCGAGTTCTGTCCCGGATACGTTCTTGAATTCATCCAATGGCCTACCGAGGACTGGCGCGGACCTGACTAGGGAATGGGAAATCGAACTGGCCAAACAAGCTGCGTACAATTAGATGCAGCATAAAACGTTCACTTCAAAAATTTATGAGCCGTTAAATGCCATTATTTGCTAAGAAGTCGTGCATGCAAAGCGGAAATCTGGCGGTATAGAGCCATGCAGCTTAATGGTGGGCCAAAACATGCAGCTAACAAGGGAAGGATACTAACTTAGATTTGTCTTTTGAAATGAGACACGTATGTTTGGAATCAGCTTCGAACGCTGATTCCAAATATGCTATTCCTAGCTGCTTAGCATTATTCTGGAGCCAGTTAGGGGCTTGCTGTTGTGAGTAATTAACAAACTTCTGAATGTCGTAAGACGGCATGTAGATAAGAATGTGCTCGAAAAAAGTACTAGGATGTTGAACTAGCATCAGATCAATTCCTTCAATATTGAAGGGAAGCATTATACATTTGCAAAACCACCTAGACGTCGACACCGTAGCATCAGTAGGTCGATGAGCACGCAAACTTTGCATAGCAAAGAACCATATCTCGCTTCAGAATAACGCTAAGCAGCCAGGAACAGCATATTTGGAATCAGCGTTCCAAGCTGATTCCAAATATGTGTATTTCATTACAGAAGGCGAATCTTAGTTAGTATCCTTCCCTTGTAAGTTACCTACTTTGTATTCCTAAAGCCTTAAAGGCAGTGTCGGGGCAAAATCTCGATCTTGAGATTTTTTGCTTACCCGGGCCTATTCGCTACGCTGAATCCGAAAATGCGCATTGTAGAGCGCGAAAATGGCGAAAAACGGCTCTAACTCAGGAGGGAAATGAGCAGGTGGGCGGGGTCCTCCCCACTGCGAATTCACATTCCCGGCTTCCGGAGCGACCTTCTCGCTTCCGGTTTCAAGTCAATAATTCGCACTTGGCCGGTAGCGATGTTAGAACGGCTAGCGGAATCGAGAAAATCGCTCCGGGAGCTGGGAGCGTGAAATCGCACTGGGGAAAGCCGCGCCCACCTGATGATTTCCCTCCTATATTAGAGCTCTTTTTCACCGTTTTCGCGCTTTCCAATGTGGATTTTCGGATTCAGCGTGGCCAATAGGCCCGTATAAGCACAAAATCTCAAAATCGAGTTTTTGCCCGGACACTGCCTTTAAAGGTGAGCTGAAAGTGCGACCACGCTCTATCTCGCTATTTTTGTGTACGGTTCTTTTCGCAGTGAAACTGCTCATAACTTCGTCCATAAAGACGCTAAGCAGATATTGAATACAGATTCGAAGTCAGCATTGAATACTGCATCGAATGGTGGGCAGCTTGCTTGGATTGGTCACTTCGACTTCCGACCATTCCCTTGTGAGCCGAGCCGACCGTGACACTCATATTAAGAACCCACATATGGCAGTCTACTGTGCTCTGAGACGAATGTGTATCAAGGACAAGTTTCATTCTTCCAAACAAGGACTCTTTGTAGTCTAATCAGAGATCACTACGTATGTAGTAGTTTAGTTTTCGTCAGGAATCGCTGAGTAGGAGCCGTTTGTCACCAGCCGTTGGCACAACTAATTGCACATGGCATTCTGCAGTAGCTATTACCTCGAGCACTTCGATCCGAGGCACAGTTGCCAGCCTCATCCAAGCATTTCGACTGGATAATCATCGATTGATAAATGGACACCTGCTGTTGAGGAGCCCGTCGACCGCCCATTCTGCCTTGCGACTCGCTGAGCTTGAGCGCGACGGGTGTGTGATTAGTGATCCTCACTTTGAATCGTAAAACCCTATGTGTCATCGCGCCAAAACGCCATAAATTATCTGTGACGCCATCGTGAAGAGACAAGCACCTGAAGTCCGCCGGGCCGAGAAAGCCCTTAGGCGATCCGTGCGTGCTGAAACGATCTCTTTAGGATGAAGTAAGTTACAAAATTTGATATTATTTTTCAACCCAAACATGTGCTTCCTGTTTTGAATTATAGAGAAAATATGCAAAAACTGTGGCAATGGATACGTGATCGTAAAACGAACACTCTTCGAAAATGGCGAAGCTCCCTGATAAAGAAAACACCGACCGATGAGGATTTGCGAAATGGTCACAACCGAGTAGGTGAGAAATTTCTGTTTTTTCTTCAATCTTCTGCTTGTTTTTATTACATTTGTCAGTGTTTGTTTTGTTCTGTCAATTATGTGTCCTCTGTAGATGTTTCAGTACATTATTTTGTAAAAAAAGGACTTCGCTCTTCTTTTTAATTCTGACATAGAGTTTTTTCTCTATAACAACACTACTAGCAATCCGACTTTCCCGTAATCATTAGATATTTAACTGCTCCATTTAGCAATTTCTGGATATGACGTGATTGTGCTCAAATTATCAAGGTATATTTTATATATGTGCCGTAACAATGTGTAACCATGCGCTTAATTCAACGACATTATCAGCTTTAAACAAATGGCATAATCAAAGCAAAGAACAGCGTTTTTTTAATGTCTGTTGAAGGAAAAAGAAAATGTACTTATCTGCCTCTCATTTGGCAAATGCTTCTAGAGCATCCATCTTATTTTCTATTCTTTTCACGCTAATACTAAGGGAAAAATTGTAATCGCTTCAGAAATTTTATTGAGTAGTTTTCACCATGTGCTTTGAAGACTAATTTCTCATCTTTTTCTCTTGGAAAGATCTGGCATGCAGTGCAGTAAACTCACTTTGCTTCGTTAGCGTATGGGAAGCCTATAGTCATCTAGTTCTCTGCTGATGGTTCCTATCGGACTTGTAACTTGTAACTTGTAACTTTGAGATTTTATTAATGTTATAAACGATAATGGTTTTCACCTTTGGGGAGTCACCCAACAGCTGTTCGCATGAAATCATTATGACTCATTTTGACTGCATCTTATTTTTTTGTGAAACTTAGGCATCCAAGACCTGCTAGGAGATTTATCCATAATATATATACTTTTTACATGATCGCATGACTGGTACGAACGTGGCCAACATCATTTTCATCGCATTTCTAAAGTGTTGGCTTCGTTATGGCTTAAGCTAATACTACCAGTTTTTTTCTCATATTTGAGCAGACAAAAATAGTTGTTTATTACAGGTCATAGTATTTCTGACATGAATCTGCCGTCAACATCCAGAGCGCAACCACCGGAATTTGAGCAGTTTTTCAACGAGCCACGGACGAAAAGCTTCCTTGACGTAAGTCGTTTCCGTTTTCGTCCCTTCCGAGTTGTCACATTGAGTTCTTTGTTCTTTGCGTGCGTCTTGCTTTACACTATTTGGGCTCCTGACACACGCACTGCATATATACCCCTAGATCTGTCCCTGAGGGGTTCTACGACTGCAGCTGGTTAGTATTGGCAGGTGTCGGAGCGAACAAGACTTGTTTTTGTCTTGTTTAGCGGTAATTCGGGAGAAACGTGTGCAGATGTAGGGGAAGTTCGATGGTTCCGCATCACATCGATTTCTTCTGCAGCGCTATTATTGTTTCCACATTTGTGCCTTTGAGTTGGGAGGAGGATTGTAATCAGAGCGAGCTGGTAGATCCGTGATTTATACTATATCGCCATTTCCCCACAGTATAGCGGGCGGAGCTCTGCCGACGTTTGCCAACGTATGCGCGTAGCAGTTTTTGGCAGCTAGAGAGTACAAAAACTAATGCTTTAGAGTGGAGATCCAACAAGTTTTTTAACGTGATCGAATGTCTGCGCGGCCACGCCCGCTATACGCATGAGAAACGCCTATACAAAATGTTTACACTTCTGCGCTTACAGTACATTTACCACCATGTTGTGCATACGCGGGCAGAACTAAACGCAATATTACGTTTTGTGGATGTCTTGTGAGCCCTTGTAGAGCCTTTGGAGCAAAATGAAATGCATGGTTATTAGATTCCAGCGCGATCATCATCTATATCCTTTACTTGCTTAGGCGTTGAAGAGATGTGTAAAAAAAAACTTCCGCATCCCAATTTGGAGCTGAGAACGCTAAAACAAATGCTGAACTTTTTCTTAGAATCTCAGAATGGTACGATAACATCAATGGCAACTACTTTCGCGAAGGATAGTCACATGACAATCTAACAGTTTTTTTTGTTTATGCTACATACGTCTTTTAGGTGCCCCTTCTATCCTCTTGCGTTGTTGAGCCAGTAACTGCTGTACGAGATTCAAAGGCAGAAATATTAGGAACAAATATGAGAGGACGTTAGTGATGAGTTGCGCACAAGGATTTTTTTTTTGGCAACTTCGAAAATCATTGAAAGATGTTTGGCTTACAATATATGCATCTACTTCCAAAGTGCCCAATAAGTGCATGGTAAGTAGGGCAAATAAAAAATGAATAAGAAACTGGCTTCCGTTCTCAGTGAGTCTGTCGGTCAATTGTTAAAGCGGAAAATATTTAATTGTCCAATAAACCCAATTGCAACTATCCTTCTAATGTGCAAATAAAGCAAGGAGTTTGGCATAATGTGCAGGAAGCGTTTGCTCAGTCTACCATTCATCACCGCCCAGTCTGAAACGCTGGAGACTGCTTTCCATGTATTCAGTCTAGCTGCTTTATGAATCTTCTCTCTACCGCGTTGTTGCAAAGAAAGCTACTTTTTTAAATTCTATGAGTTTGTTTCCTTTCATGAGGTTACTTATCACATTTTATCTAGAACGCACAGCATTTTTTACTCTACTTAATATCCTACCTCTATCAATGATTTAGCATCCTGTATTCCGTACTCGCTCACTGAATGTTTTTAGCATCAAATTAGCCAGTATTATGCAGCTCCGCTCATGTGGATGAGTAGGTCCCTAAAGCTGAGAACAGCAAAATCGCGAATTACTAGGCTTTCTAAAAGTGTAAAACGAGAAGGAGACAACAAAAACCAGAACTAGTAGTGGCAGCAGAGAAAAGAAGGTCAAGCTTAGTTCATTTCGGAGCAGCTGTCATCATCTTTCAGTTTTGCGAAAGACGAAGAAAGAAAAAATAAGAATTATCTTCATGGAGATGTACAAATAATGGGAATAATATGATTTTGATTTAACAGGTGGTATGAAAACAGGAAGCAATCAACGACTCAAGCTTCATTGTTTTGCTCGATGGTGTTGTGATTGATGTGTCGGCAGCTCTGAATTTATTTGTTGCTGCTTCCAATATTATTTTTATTTTTTTGAGAAATCTCTATTTTTACCAACACAAATCGATAACCTCCGTCAAAATTTTGCTTGAATCGCTCTCCGAAAATTAATCGTCAGACTAGCACTTTCAGACTTTGCTCCAGGGGCGGTAATCCATCATCTCGATTTATTAGCTAAACCTGAGAATTTATTGCTGTTTTCGATTTTTTGGCTCGTTTCCTGATTTTGATGCAGTGCAGAGTTCCTATTATATCATATAACTAATTGTAATAACAAACAACTCGTCTTTATCTTAGTACTTCCTGCTGGAGTACGTGGGTGAATTCGCCAGTCATATATCACAGCATCTCTATCTGTTTCGCCCCGTCCTTCTGCTAGCGATTTACGTCATTGAGATGTGCTTTCAAACAAATCTGATTGCTTCGAGGTGACACCCATTGAATTATGACAGCATCAGAAGAGAAACACATGGTTGAGTAGGCGCGGCGCTATGCACTTAGTCACTCTATTAGGACCTGAGAGACTAAAAATTGGGGAAGCCCAGAATACTCTTTGTATCTTAACTCTCTTTGATAACTTTGTTCTTACTTCGAGCGAAAACTTTCTACTCGTCTTACAATCAGTGACAGTTGCTGTTAATGTGTGAACACTTGAAAATATTGTAAAAGCGGTCATGAGGGGCAAAAATAAACGGATATAATCCAAATGTTTTAACATTCTCCGTGCTATCCACAAAAGCCGCTTTTCGCGCGATTCACAGCAGCAGTTGTCTGAATCTTTTCTAGTGATAAAACATGCAGATAAGAAGCAGATTTTGCTAGTGTTTTCTACAAAATTGCTTTGTCTAAGATCTAGGGTGTTTATTGTTTTCCGACAGTCAATTATTTAGTTTTTCATTGAATGAGAGTTCGTCGCTATATTTCTTGAAAATTCTACAGAAAAAGACGACACAACAATATGCATATCAAATTGTTCGATAGAGCAAAGCAAAATGATGGCGTTCAAACAATAATTCGATACATACGAAATTTAAAAGAAAAATCCAGAATTTTCAAATATCTTGAATTGCAAATCCAAAAAATTCTGCAAATTTCCAACTTGGTCCATATGCTAATCATATCGGACAATCATATGTGCACTTGCCGTATCGATTAGTCGATCAAAACCATGCAAGTTTCGATGATAAAAACGACCAGAAATTCAAAAAGCGCTCTGCAGGCATGGGAAATTGATTTGAAATCAGTACGCCAAGCTCTTGTAACGGTATGCATTTTTTGGTAATCGGCCACTTTGACTCCCGATACTCCCTTGTGAGATTCTGAATTTGAAGTCGCTGGAAGAAATGTAAATGGATATTCTGCGATGATTCTCTCTACTAGGAAAACGAGTCAATGCCGCTTTGTCTCAGTTCTCAAGTAAATCCAGACGGCACGTTTTGATGGAATAATTGATTGCAGACGCAGAATGATACGTAAACTTCCCCTCAGCTTTGAATGATGTATCAGTGCAGCATTGCTGCTGTAAAGAAATTCATCTAATCAATGCCTTGGACAACAGAAGAAAAGATGGATGAGAAAGGGGCTATCAATGTGCTGGAATGAAAATTATAATCTATGCAATGAAGGAGTAATGTTAATGGATGAGTATCGTACAAGAAAGTCTTGCAATCCAATAGCTGTTACATAAAAAAAAACTTCCTCTTTTCTCACCACTTTCCCATCACAGAAATTCGTGTCGCATGGTTGAAGTACACAGTATGTCGCAAGAGTCATGAAAGTGTGAACAACGGAAATGCATTTTTTTGGTTTTAACAGTAATCTCCAATAAATTAGTAGTTCGCCACTAGCTTTGTAGTGGACGAATCTGGATCCAAGTCTACTATTCAACTGTTTCCTTGGTGTAGAGGAACAAATACATTAATAAGGACCGCTTCCGCGAACTAATTCCCACACGCTATACAGTAGTAGAGCGCAAGGACCAGCAGTCCGAGGAAGGGGTGCAGGTTATTCGTTCCTTTACCCGATTCCATACAACGCATGATCCGATACATAGAAGTGCCTGCCTGAACGATAGGCTCATGGTAACTAGTACTTTTTATGAACCTTTTCGATTTTTACCCAAGGTGTAACACAGCCTACGGCGTAACTTAACCTATCATAAGTAAAAACGAAAAGGATCCGAAAAAATGACTAAACCTGTTGTGTTCGGGTAGGCACTTCCATAAATTAGAGCATACCCGAATCGAGCCGAGTTGAAGGTGCCCTTCGATTCCGAATTAGTCCACTCTGAAGCGAGATAATGCAATGCGACGAGGCATCAGTCATACCTCGCGCGATTGCAATCGGCGCTATTTTACTTTACTGCGACGGCTCATAATTCTTCGTAAGCGCGCCTCGTTAAGCAAATTTTGACATGCTTGCATCAACTCATGAAATGTGCGAGCATTGCAGATCTGCGCGCGGTGGATTAGTAACATCTATCAAGTCCAACGGAAGCGATTTTTTCGCAACCGCGCGAGATATGACCGATTTTGACTTAACTATCGCATTGCGGATTATGAGAAAAAAATTCGAAAATTGGATTTTCCTTGTGGGACATGTATCTACTAAAAAGTTACAAGCCTCCACTTAATTTCGAGATGAGAAAAAATCGATAAAATTGGAAGGTTTTTCTTTCAAGTGTATCAACGACGTTTTATGTTACGACCTAATAATATTCTATGTATTCCTTGTGTCTCATTCTTATGGATACTTTATGGTTTAGAGCCGAAATCTTGGAACATTTTTCGCGCCTCAAGATACTGAGGCAGATGTTAGATATGAATATTGTGCGCACCAAGAACGCACATGAGATTTTTTGAGCATGAGTATCGACCGGTGAAAATCTTTTGTGAGCGCTTAATTATCTCTGAACCAATAGTTTCCTGAATGCGACTAACTATGGACTAGATTCCGGTAGGGTTCAGTCGGAAAAGTTCTAGCGGAATTCAGTCGGAAAGCTCCAGCGGGTATGTCCTGTGCAGGTGTGGAACAAAGCTTTAGACCTTTTCACAAGTGCGTGCAATTCAGC